AGCAAATTTCAAAATATAAAAGCGTATGATTACGTGTGGACGTGATGGTGGAAGGGAACTCGAGAATTAGAAAGGTGGAGATAGTGGGTGAAGAAGTATGTCTCATTATCATCAGAATATGAATATGCTCGCATTTAGCGTCTCACCAATGAATATATATTATATGCGAGCTTATTTATCCCCTCAAAAAAATATGACCTTATTTTTATTTTAATATTGTTTATACATGTCCACTTTTGAGATCAGAGATGAAAACTAATGGCTTCCAATGATGCTTTGAAAATGCCGATTGACAAAGCTTTATGAAGAACCGGACTGAAAAATTGTCTTGTTTTAACAATCAGAAGAGATGCATACACATAATTATTCTTTATATATTTCTTGTGCATGATAATACAAAAGGTGTGTTTCTATATATATTTGTTTTTGCAGAGTATCAGAGAGATGAAGATGGATTACGATATTCAAATAGAATTCATTGACAAGGGTGTTCAGGCTATGTTGTTGAAATGGGTCAAAAGTCCACTAAGTTTTATACAACAAAAGGCCCGTGACAACGCACGGTCATGTCACACACACTGATGAATTATTGGCATGGGATAATCTCTAGCTAGCGAGCACCTAGCCTGTTTGCTCCATAAAGCACATCTGCACATATATTTTGTACTGTAAGCAATTCCTTTATTCGCCTTCAAAATCTAAATAGTATGGAAATCAGGAAAATTATATAGCTATTTGGGTGTATCTCTACTCCTAATGTCAGGGTTATTTTATCAACTACTGGGTTGTTGATCGACATTACGGTTTAATTCTTACACGAATTAATGTTGACTCGATTCCCTGTAGTAGGTTGAGAGGCTTCTCCTCTCATGATTTACTCTGAGTAGTTTGCTTGGCTCCATGATCCTCATGATTTCTTTGAATTTTTCCTGTAGGAGCTCGATAAAAAATAACCTAAGAAAAATATGTCGTTCTTCTCTACAATGGTTGCGTGTGGAATTTGAGGAGAATCTGTGCACCAACATCCGGCTGCTTGATGTTGCTCTGATCATATTGTGTAAATATATTTCTAATAAAGCAATCGCCCCATGGTGTACATGTTAGAAATAACAAGATGTAATCATCAAGTGTGAGAGATGGCAACATCATGATGGGATGGTATGTACTGTTATGCTCATCAATAGATTAGTCTTTCGTTCTCTTGTAGACAAATGTTTTTTGTTATGCAAACAATTAGGAAATATCTAATTTCTATGTACGTCCAAATATATATAAGTGGTTGTTGTTAACACTGAGTTTGGATTTGTTAATGGTCGCTGCATTTGGTCTATCCCGAGCCTCTGGCTGTGGATCATGTTCTTTTGATATCCGCTTGTCATGCTATGTTATCTCTGGTTGTGGTTGTGGTTGGACTTCTGGTATGTGTTACCTCTAAATTTGCAGCAAATAGCATTTCATTAGAGATGGCTTTGCAGCAAATTGCAAATCGCGCAAACCAAGCCATCGCCGCCTCGTCGCTCTCGCCGGGAGCAACAACAACCGCCAGTCTCTTCTTAGCCGGCATCTCCTCCATCCGGATGCCCTGCGGCACGAGCCACTCCGCCACCGCCTGGGACTCGACCTCCGGGATGTTTAGGTCCGTCTTCGGCCGTCCGGCACGCCACACCGCCACGCCGTAGGCACACGCGGCCTCATCGGCGGTGGGATACATGCCGAGCCACCGACGCTGCCCGGCATCAGAGAACTCCAGTCCGAAGTTCTCGGACGGCTTTGCCCTCATGCCGAAGAAACCAAACTTGCCCTTCGGCATCTTCTTCGACGCCATAGGGGAGCGGGCGGCGGCTGAGCGGGGAGTGTCGTGGTTCTAGGTCTGACAGTAGTGTAGGGGGGTAAGTATGGAGAGGCAAGATCTTAGCTGTGGAGAAGTTGTAAGCACGCAAGGTTTACGAGTTCAGACCCTTCTCGGAGGAAGTAATAGCCCTACGTCTCGGAGCCCGGAGGCGGTCGACTGGATTATATGAATATGGGTTACAGAGGTGCGAACCCTTGTCTCGGAGGAGGGGGTGGCTTATATAGAGTGCGCCAGGACCCCGGCCAGCCCACGTTACAAAGGGTTCAATGTACATTAAGGCAGGGCGTTACTGGTAACGCTAGTAATAAAGTGTTATGATGACCATAAAAACTACTTAATGATCGACCGTTAGCGTGCGGAGTGACTTCAGGTCTCTTGTCCGTTGAGTGGTTGGATCTTGGTCGAGTGATTGCTTCTTGGTCGAGCGTCTTCGAGTCTGTCGAGTGAAACACCTCCAAGTCGATTGAAAGGTGGTTTCTTCTAGAGATGTCCTTGGGTAGGGCAGTTAGGACAGGTCCATGATCCTACCCTAGGTACATAGCTTCATCAGGGAGCGGGGCGGAGGCGGACGGAGCGGGGCGGCGGCGTGCGGTTCGGGGCGGAGGCGGACGGGGCGGGGCGGCGGACAAACCGGAGAGGAGGCGGACGGAGCAGGGCCGGGCGAAGGATGGACCGGAGGCAGAGGCGGCCGGAGAGGAGGCGGGCGGGGCGGAGGCGGCCGGAGCGGAGGCGAACGCAATGGGGCTGCGCAGCGGCAGGCGGCGGCCTAGGCGGAGTGGAATCAATGACGGGGTCTGGATCTACAGTAAGGCAAGCCCTTAAAAAATTAACATGTAACTCTTACAAACTATTTCAAACACGGGCACTCTACCAGTGCTCTTATATTCCTACTATATCGACCACTTGTAGCTCTCCGTTAATAAAAGAACATGCCGTGGTACTATATATAACTCGCTAGCCCGCGCTTGCTCTAAACATCCATTACCTCCAAATCAAAGCTAAATTCACCCCGCATACCTAAATGGCACTGCTCGGAAATCTAACAGCAAGCCCCACGGCCGCCATCATTCGTAAGATGCGGCAGGCGCAGCGCGCCGACGGCCCAGCGTCCGTGCTGGCTATCGGAACGGCGAACCCGGCGAACTGCGTGCGCCAGGACGAGTACGCGGACTACTACTTCCGCGTCACCCAAAAGCAGCACCTCACCAAGCTCAAATCCAAGCTCAACAGAATCTGTATGCGACATCTTCAATTACTCTGTTAGTCCCACTGTAAACCCGTGAGACTGATGCATGCTCGCGCGTTTGCTCCCATCCCATGCATGGCTGCGTACGTGTTTGATCAGGTGACAGGTCGGCCATCAAGAAGCGCTACTTCCACCACACGGAGGAGTTGCTGCAGCATCACCCGGAGTTCATCGACCGCACGTTGCCATCCCTAGATGCCCGGATGGACATCGCGGCCACCGCCGTTCCGGACCTCGCGGCAGCGGCAGCGGGCAAGGCCATCGCGGAGTGGGGCCGCCCAGCCGCCGACATCACCCACCTCGTCGTCAGCACCTACTCCGGCGCCCACATGCCGGGCGTCGACCTCCGCCTGGCCTCCCTCCTCGGCCTCGACCCGTCCGTCCGCCGCACCATGCTCTACCTCAACGGCTGCTCCAGCGGGTCCGCCGCGCTCCGCGTCGCCAAGGACATCGCCGAGAACAACCGCGGTGCCCGCGTCCTCGTCGCCTGCGCCGAGCTCACCCTCATCTTGTTCCGCGCGCCCGACGAGGCCCACGTCGACACGATCATCATGCAGGCTCTCTTCGGCGACGGCGCGGCCGCCGTGATAGTCGGAGCCGAACCCGACGCCTCCGCCGAGCGCCCGATTTTCGAGATGGTGGCCGCCTCGCAGAGCGTGATACCTGAGAGTACGCACGGCGCGGTGGGGCGACTTCGGGAAGACGGGCTCGTCTTCAACCCTTCCTTCGAGATGCCGGCGCTGATCCGGGAAAACATCGAGCAGTGCATGGCCGACGCAGTCGGGCCGCTTGGGTTGAGCGGTGGCTGGAACGACCTTTTCTGGGCGGTGCATCCCGGCGGGCGGGCAATCTTGGACAGCGTGGAGGCGGGACTCCGGTTGGAGCCCAAGAAGCTGACGGCAAGCCGACATGTACTCAGTGAGTACGGAAACATGTCCGGGCCGACAGTGATCTTCGTCCTCGACGAGATCCGCCGCCGTCGTGAGCATGTGGTGGGTCGCCACGGTCTGGGTGTATTGCTTGGGCTCGGACCGGGTGTCACGGTTGAGACGATGGTGTTGCGTGCCGCCTGTGGTAGCTAAAACTAGTAGCTACTTCCTCCGTCCGTCCTTATTAGTCCCTTGTATTTCAATTTTGAACCGAATATGAAACACCTTTATTTAATAAATATATGTGTTGTAAATTTGATCATAATATGTAAAAATGTATTGTCTTTTTTATGTACGCTCTACTCTCTTCATTTCAGTTCAAAGGGTCCAGCCGAAAAATCTCTTCAATCAACGCATATGATGAGTGATAGAACAAATTTTATAGTTTGCAATTATGCGCAAAAAAAAATTGTAGTTTGCAAAACTACTCCCTCCGTCCGACGATACAAAATGTCTTGCAAGCTGTCTTCTGAAAGCATTGACTTCATGACCTTGATTTGTTGGTCTTGGCATTCACGATGATCATCCTTGTCCTGATTGTATTTGGTCGAACACAGTGACGACATAAGCGTGTTATAACTTTTTGAAGGCATTACTGTGGAAAAATCAACTTAGTTGTAGGTATTTCATACATAGCCTGTAATAAAGCTGGCATAATTGTCAGTCCTTCATTCTGCTAGTCGGTGATTTTAGCCTTGTTCCCGTGCATCAACTTTAATACAATAATACTGTATATATTTGAAGATGCAGAGGCTAGAAGCCATCTTTCTTTTTTCTAAACAAGATTGTACTCCTTCATTTTCAGTTTAAAGCGCCTATCTTGATAAAAAGCAATTTCTTAGTCTCATTTTTTACTTTTCTCCATCCTATGTTTATATTTTAAGCCATATTAAATCACTGAATGCAATGATTAGATGAAAACACACAAATGCATGTATAACTGCTGCTGCTCATTTAGGCTAGTCATAGTGAGAGTAATATAAGTAGTAACGTAGATGCCATATAAACAAAAAAGATGATGTGTCATGTAATTAAAGAGGAGAGAGACAAATAGAATAACATAATATGTTACCATCACATAGCGGTTCCCAATACAAAATGAGTCTACGAAGCAATAAATGAAGATACGTATATTACTACACCTATATGACACTTTCCGCTATGAAGGTAGTAACACGAACTAGTAACATATGTATATTACTAGTCTAAGTTACTCCCCACTATGACTAGCCTTAGTGGTAATGTATGCATGCATTGCACTTCATGTAGATTAATGCGTCGACAAATATGATGTTTCAGGGAAAACACACCTACTTATTAAATACTCCCTCGGTCCCACAATATAAGACGTTTTCAGAGGACTTCCTCTCGTCTTCTCCCCTTTTTTCTCCAGACTTCATCGGCAAATGCGTGGATTCGCCTCCCCTCTGCCTGCCACTCTGGCGGCCGGCAGAGGGGAGAGGAATCATGGTGCCTCCATTCCAGTTAGTAGTTTACGTTAAGGTTTTTTCGTCCTCGTAGGTGCGGCGCTCGGGTAGATGGCGGTGTTTCTTCTTCAAGTCTGTCTTCCGAGATTCAGTCCCCCTCGAGTTTGTCCGTTTGGACGTAGTCGGCAGAGCTCTGGTGTAGAATCATGTCATCTCCTTGGGGCGGTGAGGTTACGGTTTCTCGTCATGTGATGAGACTCGGCGCAAGTTGCTTCAGATCTATGCAACAGTTCAACGGTGACAACTGCGGCTCCAGAGTGCTAGTCCTTAGAGGCACATGCATGAAGACTTCACGATTGTCATCGGCATGGTCAAGTCGGCTCCGGTAGGGGAGCGACGACAACGATGTGTCAACGGCTCCTTCTGGCGGCAGTTGTGGTCGCTCTGTCGTCTCAGAATCTCGATGTAATTTTTATTGTGTTTGAAATGTTTTATACTTTTGATATACTTTTATAATAGATTTGATCCTTTTCGAAAAAAGAAGATAACGCTTTCGACATGGAAACAACGCAAGTTCATTGCTGTGTGACAGGCTAATTAATGATAGTCGTAACAAGAGTTTTCACCACCGGACATGAAGCGGCATTCTAAGCACCATGCAAATGGATCTTCCAAATATTGCACTAACTAGTAATCCACGTAGAACCACCGTTATCTCCACCTGGCTGTCAAGGAGCCGCCAAATTCATGTTGTTGATCTGATCGATGCAACCGAAGCTCGAGTCATACATGCCCATACCATCCAATCATCTATGCGATGAACCACGGCGATCACATGTCATGTTGTAGTCAACACATAGTCGGCAAGCTTTAAATCTAGAGCAGGCTCCTTTGTGAAGCCGGATCGATCCCACCACCGCCGCAACTAACGTCATCGTCCTAGCCTCGAAGGTCCTCCTTCGACGGCTAGATTCAGGCGAGCATGCTCCTATACTCCGCCACCAGCCACCATGGGCAGCCACCGCAGTGACCTAGAGGCCGAGTCCCACCATATGCGCTTGCCATCTAGATTTTGCATGTCGCGTTGGCAAGGTGGCTAGGGGAGTCTCCTCCGAGTGAGGAGACGTGGCTGCTATTGCTGTCTATTGGATGGGCTTTACCCAAAGAAACTTTCTCTCTGCTTTATATATAAAGCACTGACCGGTCACAATTCAGATACAAACGCATGTCACCACAACACACGTATAGACCCAAGGTAGGATACAAAGGCGTTGAGCGCAGCAACACGAACCCTAGTACTACAAGAGCAACCGGAGTCCTCGACCATGAGCACGTCACCGCGAAGAGATGAAACCACATATAATGAACCGTTTGCTCCAAGGAGGCGCCTTCATGAAGGTTATGACACCAAAGCGCCACCACCGCCCGACCCGAGGATCAGAGTTTCCCCTGGAGCAACACGACAGACAATGAGAGACGCGACGACGCCATGAAGAAGGGAACGAGCTTTGCCGCCGCCAGTCCATCCGAAGATAGATCAGATTTTCACCCCGGCCAACACTCATCATCACCGGACGCCACACCCCAGCAACCATGCCGCCCACACGACCATGGCCAGTGGGCAGCACCTAACCACGGGCTCTGCCCATGAGCACCGTGAAACTACCAGCATGTCAGCCCTGTCCGACGGCGATGAAAAGAAAGAAAGAGGAGAGAACAGATCAGGGCAGCAACAACTAAGACTTCGCCCGGGCCATGCTCTAGAGCGGCGTGGGTGTCCATTTATGTTGTGTACACTTTTGTTAAGACACGAGGAGAGAACAGACAAGGGCAGCAACAGCTAGGACTTCGCCCAGGCCATGCTCTAGAGCGGTGTGGGTGTGCATTTATGTTGTATAAACTTTGTTAAAACGCGGTAGTTGTTGTTACAACATACTTCTTCCGATTCTTTTTACTCTGCATATAGTTTTGTCTTAAGTTGAACTTGAAGAAAATTGACTAAGATTATAGATTCAGCATGGAATTAATTTTCATATTGTATATCCTTAATATTGCATATGTTCATTATTTCTAATATAAACTTGTTCAAATTTTATAAATTTTGACTTAGACAATTTTATATGTGGAGTAAAATAAAATGGAGTGTGTACGTCTTGCAAGCGTGGGCCACTCGCAACAACGAACTGTATGTTGACTTCCTAACGCGCCTGTTGAGATAGCTAGCATTATAATATCTGATTGTAATCACCCAGTTTAATTAACGAAAGTCTCTTTCCCGCGAAAAAAACAATGGAGTGTGTACGTCTTCGCAGGGTTGGAGCAGACACATCACAAACTCGTTGGTCATGTGGAAAATGCATTTACGTATGATGTTACATAAGGGCGGCCGCGTCACATTGGAGGAATGCCTTTATCGGCCGGGTCGTGGTCATCTTGTACGCTTCATTTCTCCAAAGAAGAATTTGTCCTCTCCACTCTGTTCGTTTTTTTTTTCAAGAACATGCAGGAGCGTTGCATGTCTTTTCAATTAAGGAAAGAGGGAGTCTCAGTACAGAGTAAATTACACTGTCAAAGCCGCCATCGAGGCCCAGCGACCAGGCTCGCTCTAGCTTCTAGTGAATCTGAAATGGATGGTCGCCCTCTACCGTAGCATGAGTCCACAGGCGGAGCTCAGCCCTAATAAAAGATATAGTGGAGGCCGGCGGGGACACCTTGCATTCGAAAACACGGCTATTATGAACCATAGCGTGGCTATGACTGTTACAGTAGTCTTTATGGTATACGACTTCTAGTCGGTTTGTATCCTTTTATATACTCTTATATGCCGCACCAAATCAATCAATAAGCAACAGTTTTATTCAGTTTTCATGTTATCAGATACCGGTCCAAGGGTCTAGGGTATGGCTCCGCCTACGCCGCCGCCGCCCGGCTACTTCGAGCGCCGGGCCGCGCTCATCGCCAAGGCTACCAACGCCGCGGCCGCTTTTTTCTAGGCCCTCACCATAGCTCCACAAAACTACCCTACATCCATCCTCGCCGCACCAATATCTCTTGCCGACACAATCTCCGATGTCAGCCTCTACATCCCCATAGTTCTTGATCTCGCTACCCACAACTACTATCATTGGAGACATCTCTTCGATCTCCACCTCGGCCGCTGCAACCTGCGCTCGCATGTCGCCGCGAACTGTCTTCCCCGCCCCGACGATCCGCAATGGTTGAAAGACGATCTCGCGATCGTCCAGTGGTTCTACACCCGCATCACCACCGAAATCTTCAACATGCTCGATCACGACAGCGCCACCGCTGCCAACATCTGGCACTCCCTCCGTCAGCTCTTCCAAAGCAACACCGACGCTCGGAAAAACGCTCTCCACACCGAGCTTCGCAATATGGTGCAAGGAGACGCCCCGGTGAACCTGTTCTGCCAGCGCATTAAGACCATTGGTGATGAGCTCCGCGAACTCGGCGATACAGTCAGCGACTCACATCTAATCAACATCGTCGTTGTTGGCCTCAGCGAAGACTTTGACAAGCAAGCCTCGTTCATACCGATGATACGGTCTCCTCCTACCTTCGCTGAAGTTCGTTCCCTGCTACAACTCGCGGCGGAAACACAAGCTCGCAAGGACTCTCGCCCCAAGGTCTTTCATGCTGCGGCTCGTCCTCCTCTATCGTCTACACCAGCGTCGCCTACCATGTTGGCTGCTGCCGCCGGGCCGTCCG